CCACCTTTTCCCATCCTTTCCCACATTCCCTGGATCCTCTCCTGCATTTTCCAACCCTTTCCCTGGATCCTCTCCCACTTTTCCTGCCTCTTCCTGCACTGCCCTGGATCCCTTCCCACATTCCCAAAACCCTTTCCCACATTCCCTAAATCCTCCAGGCCTTTCCCTCCACGGTTTCCCACATTCCCTGAATCCTTTCCCCCCTTTTCCCAAAAATCCTTTCCCACCATCCCTAAATCCTCCAGGAGTTTCCCTAAATCCTTCCCCACATTCCCTGGATCCTTTTCCACATTCCCAAATCCTTTCCCACTTTTCCTGCCTCTCCCAGCCCTTTCCCTCCATCATTCCCACCTTTTCCCATCCTTTCCCACATTCCCTAAATCCCTTCCCACCTTCCCTCCATCCTTTCCCCCCTTTTCCCAAAACCCTTTCCCACTTTTCCTCCATCCTCCAGGATTTTCCCTCCATCCTTTCCCACATTCCCTGGATCTTTTCCCACATTCCCTAAATCCTTTCCCACCTTTTCCTCAAATCCTCTCCCATTTTCCCTCCACCCTTTCCCACCTCCCCTGAACCCTCCCGGCCTTTCCCACCCTCCTTTCCCCCTTTCCCTAAATCCTCTCCCACTTTTCCCTCTCCCGCCTCCCTTCCCTTTCCCCTCTCCCACCTTCCCCGCACCTCTCCCCCCCCTCCCCCCCCATTCCCCATGGATCCAATTCCGGAATTTTCCCTCCGCTCGGCACAAGGTCGGGGAGGAGGAGGACTCAGCATTCCCAGATTTCCTCGGCGGCAGCGGGGCGCTGCCCTTGCCCGGGAGCGGCTCTTCATTCCCGGGATTTCAAAGGGCGGCGGCGCGGAGCCGGAGCCTTTGAGGGATAATTCCGGCATCCCGGGAGCAGCTCTTCATTCCCGGGATTTCAAAGGGATCATTCCGGCAGGGAGGGGGGCGGGGAGCGGCTCCGGAGCCCTTGGAATGGTTTCCAGCTCCCCCGACCTTCCCGGGACACGCCGGCCATCCAGGGAAACGCTGGGAATGGCGGCCAGGCCGGGAATTCATCCCCAGGTTCCCCTTTTTTATGGAATTCTCTGCCTTCCCTGCCTGGCACTGGAGCCAGCCCCATCCCAACTCCTCTCTGGGGAGGAATTTTGGGAATTCTGTGGGAATTGGGGACTCCCAGAAGGGTCTCCTTTCACTTTTCCACCCCCATAAAATTCCATAAAAATCCCTGGGGATGGATCCTTGATCCCAGAATCCTGGAATTCTTGGGATGGGATCCATGGACCTTCAATCCCATCCCACTCCAATCCCACATTCCCGGGATTTTCCAGCCCTTCCTTGGACACTCTCAGGGATCCAGAGATTCTCTGGGAATTTCAGCATGGCCAGGAATTCAACCCCAAATCCCATTTTTCAGGGAATTCCCTCCATTCCCTGCCTGGGGTTGGAGCCAGCCCCATCCTTACTCCTCTCTGGGGAGGAATTTTGGGAATTCTGTGGGAACTGGGGATTCCAGAAAGGGTCTCCCTTCCCTTTTCCATCCCCAAATTCCATAAAAATCCCTCAGGATGGATCCTGAGTGTCCTTGATCCCAGAATCCCAGAATTCCATTGAAGGGGTCCATAGATCTCAAATCCAATCCCATTCCGACCCCAAAATCCTGGGATTTTCCAGCCTTTCCTTGGACACTCTCAGGGATCCAGAGATTCTCTGGGAATTTCAGCATGGCCAGGAATTCATTCCCAAGATCCCATTTTTCAGGGAATTCCCTCCATTCCCTGCCTGGGGGTGGAGCCAGCCCCATCCTTACTCCTCTCTGGGGAGGAGTTTTGGGAATTCTGTGGGAACTGGGGATTCCAGAAAGGGTCTCCCTTCCCTTTTCCATCCCCAAATTCCATTAAAAAAATCCCTCAGGATGGAGCCTGAGCATCCTTGATCCCAGAATTGCAGAATTCTTGGGATGGGATCCGTGGACCTTCAATCCCACCCCACAGTCCTGGGATTTTCCAGCCTTTCCTTGGACACTCTCAGGGATTCTCTGGGAATTGCAGCCCAGTCAGGAATTCCTTCCCAAATTCCTCCATTTTTCCAGGGAATTCCCTCCATTCTCAGCCTGGGATTGGATCTATCCCCAACCTGACTCCTCTCCGGGAAGGAATTTTGGGAATTCCCTGAGAATTTCGGGGAGCTCCCTTCCCTTTTCCATCCCCAATTCCATAAAAAATCCCTCGGGGTGGATCCTGGATCCCAGAATCCCGGCGTGGTTTGGGATGGGATCCATGGGCCCTACAATCCCACCCCATTCCCACCGCAGGGATACACCCCGGGATTCTGGGAATTGCATCGGGATGGGATCCAATCCCCACCATTCCCATCCCAAACCATCCTGGGATTCCAGAATTCCATGAAATCCCTCCTGCCCCACCTCCATATCCCATTCCAGGCAGCAAAAACCATTCCAAGGATTCTGGAGCCTCTCCCGCTCTCCCTGCCTCGGTTCCCGTGGAGCCGAAATTAAAGGGTGGAAAATCCCTGGATTTTGGGATTGGAGTGGGATTGGAATGGGATGGGATTGAAGGTCCCTGGATCCCATCCCAAGCCATTCCGGGATTCTGGGATCAAGGACACTCAGGATCCATCCCCAGGGATTTCTATGGAATTTGGGGATGGAAAAGGGAAGTGCAGTCCAAAATTCCGGAGAAATCCCAAAATTCCTTTCCAGAGAGGAGTTGGGAAGGGGATGGATGCAACCCCAGGCTGGAAATGGAGGGAATTCCCTGAAAAATGGGATTTGGGAGTGACTTCCTGTATGGGCTGGAATTCCCAGAGAATCCCTGGATCCCTGAGAGTGTCCAAGGAAAGGCTGGAAAATCCTGGGAATGTGGGATTGGAGCAGGATGGGATTGAAGGTCCATGGATCCCATCCCAAGAATTCTGCAATTCTGGGATCAAGGACACTCAGGATCCATCCTGAGGGATTTTTATGGAATTTTATGGGGGTGGAAAAGGGAAGGCAGACCCTCCCTGGAGTCCTCAATTCCCACAGAATTCCCAAAATTCCTCCCCAGAGAGGAGTAGGGATGGGGATGGCTCCAGTGCCAGGCAGGGAAGGCAGAGAATTCCATAAAAAAGGGGAACCTGGGGATGAATTCCCGGCCTGGCCGCCATTCCCAGCGTTTCCCTGGATGGCCGGCGTGTCCCGGGAAGGTCGGGGGAGCTGGAAACCATTCCAAGGGCTCCGGAGCCGCTCCCCGCCCCCCTCCCTGCCGGAATGATCCCTTTGAAATCCCGGGAATGAAGAGCTGCTCCCGGGATGCCGGAATTATCCCTCAAAGGCTCCGGCTCCGCGCCGCCGCCCTTTGAAATCCCGGGAATGAAGAGCCGCTCCCGGGCAAGGGCAGCGCCCCGCTGCCGCCGAGGAAATCTGGGAATGCTGAGTCCTCCTCCTCCCCGACCTTGTGCCGAGCGGAGGGAAAATTCCGGAATTGGATCCCTGGGGAATGGGGGGGGAGGGGGGGGAGAGGTGCGGGGAAGGTGGGAGAGGGGAAAGGGAAGGGAGGCGGGAGAGGGAAAAGTGGGAGAGGATTTAGGGAAAGGGGGAAAGGAGGGTGGGAAAGGCCGGGAGGGTTCAGGGGAGGTGGGAAAGGGTGGAGGGAAAATGGGAGAGGATTTGAGGAAAAGGGGGGAAAGGATTTGGGAATGTGGGAAAAGATTCAGGGAATGAATGTGGGAAAGGATGGAGGGAAAGTTCTGGAGGATTTAGGAAAAATGAGAACGGATTTAGGGAATGTGGGAAAGGATGGGAATGATGGAGGGAAAGGGTTGGGAGGTGCAGGAAAGGTGGGAAATGATGAAGGAAAGAGGGAAAAGATCCAGGGAATGTGGGAAAGGATGGAGGGAAAATCCTGGAGGATGGAGAAAAAGTGGGAAAGGATTTTGGGAAAAGGGAGGAAAATGTAGGAGGGAGGTTTTCCCGGGAATTTGGGACCCTGGGAGTGTCCAAGGAAAAGTTGGAGGGGTGGGATTGGGGATGTGTGGATCCCGTCAGAGGAATTCCGGGATTCTGGGATCCAGGATCGATCCCGAGGGATTTTTATGGAATTATGGGAAGTGGAGTCCCAAATTCCCAGGGAATTCCCAAAATTCCATCCCAGAGAGGAGCTGGGATGGGGATGGATCCAACCCCAGGCTGGGAATGGAGGGAATTCCCTGGGAAAGGGGGAGAAATTGGGATTTTGGGAATGAACTCCCGGCTGGGCTGGAATTCCCAAAAAATCCCTGGGAGTGTCCAGGGAAAGGCTGGAAAATCCCAGGATTTTGGGATGGGGATGGGATGGGATTCAAGGTCCATGGATCCCATCCCAAACCATTCCAGGACTCCGTTCCTTTCTGCCACCTCCCTTCCCAAAGGGATAATTCCTGGGAATATCTCTTGGGAATAATTTCCTGGGAATATTTCATGGAAATATTTCCTGGGAATAATTTTCTGGGCGTCTTTTTTGGGAAGAGTTTCTGGGAATAATTACCTGGGAATATTTTCTGAGAATAATTCCGGGGAATATGTTCTGGGAATATTTTCTGAGAATATTCCGTAGAAATATTTTGTGGGAATAAATCCTGGGAATAATTTCCTGGGAATCTTCCTTGAGAATAATTTCCTGGGAATATTTTCTGGGAATAACTCCTGAGAATAATTTCCTGGGAATAATTTCCTTGGCATCTTTTTTGGGATTACTTTCTGGGAATAATTCCTGGGAATAACTTCCTGGGAATAATTATCTGGGAATAAATCCTAGGAATAAATCCTGGGAATAATTTCCTGGGAAATATTCCATTGGAATTGAGCTCCATTCCCATTGGATCCCATCCCAAATTCCCATTGGATCCAAACCCCAGATTCCCATTGGATCCCAACCCGAATTCCCATTGGATCCCAGCCCCAAATTCCCATTGGATCCAAACCCCAAATTCCCTTTTGATCCAAGCCAAATTCCCGTTGGACCTCATCCCAAATTCCCATTGGATCCAAACCCAAATTCCCATTGGATCCAACCGAAATTCCCATTGGATCCAACCCCAGATTCCCATTGGATCCAAACCCAAATTCCCATTTGATCCAAGCCAAATTCCCACTGGATCCAAACCCAAATTCCCATTGAATCCAAACCCAAATTCCCATTGGATCCCATCCCAAATTCCCATTGAATCCAACCCCAAATTCCCATTGGATCCCAGCCCAAATTCCCATTGGATCCCAACCCCAAATTCCCATTGGATCCCAGCCCAAATTCCCATTGGATCCAAACCCCAAATTCCCATTGGATCCCAGCCCAAATTCCCATTGGATCCAAACCCCAAATTCCCATTGGATCCCAACCCAAATTCCCATTGGATCCCATCCCAAATTCCCATTGGATCCCAACCCCAAATTCCCATTGAATCCAAACCCCAAATTCCCATTGGATCCCAAACCCAAATTCCCATTGGATCCCATCCCAAATTCCCATTGGATCCCATCCCGAATTCCCATTGGATCCCAAATTTTGGCATCACCGCCCCCATCCCAACCCGAGAATTCCCAGCTCCCAAATCCTGGGAATCCTCCGAGCTTCCCCCACCCCCCCATTCCCGACATTCCCACTCCAGAAAACCGGGAATGACCTCGGACCTTTTCCCCTTTTCCCGCCGGACGCAGGTCCTGGATCAGCTGGAGGAGCACCTGCGGAATTCCCAATATTTCCGCTTCCTGTGGTTCCCGCACACCGAGAACGTCCGGATCATCTACCAGGATCCCACCAACCAGGCGGGCATCCCAAAAAATCCCGGGAATTCCCGGCGTCCCGCAAGGCCGGGGGTGGATTTTGGGAACGGATCCCAAAAAATCCCGGGAATTCCCAGGATCCTGCAATTCCAGGGGTGGATTTTGGGAACAGATCCCAAAAAAATCCTGGGAATTTCTGAGATCTGGCAAATAAGGGGGTGGATTTTTGGGAGGGTATTCCAGGATTTTGGGAATGGGATCCTGGAATTGCAGGGTTTTCCAAGCTTGTGGAATTCCAGGGATGGATTTTGGGATTGGGCTGCAGGAATCCCGGGAATTGCCGAGATCCGACAATTCCAGGGGTGGATTTTGGGCAGGAATTCCATGACTGTAGGAATAGATCCTGAAAAATCCCAGGAATTCCCAGATTTTGGGGATGGATCCCAAAAAATCCCGGGAATTTCAGAGCTCCTGGCAATTCCAGGGATATATTTTGAGCAGGAATTCCAGGATTTTGGGAATGAATCTCGGAAAATCCTGGGATTTTCCAAGATCCCACAGTTCCAGGGATGGATTTTGGACAGGAATTCCAGGATTTTGAGAACAGATCCCAAAAAATCCCGGGAATTTCAGAGCTCTTGGCAATTCTAGGGATGGATTTTGGGTGGGAAGTCCAGGATTTCGGGAATTGATCCTGGAAAATCCTGGGAATTTCTGGGTTCTGGCAATTCCAGCAGTGCATTTTGGATTGGAATTCCAGAATTTTGGGAATTCCAGGTTTTCCAAGCTCCTGGCAATTCCAGGAATAGATTTTGAGCGGGAATTCCAGGATTTTGGGAATTTGTTCCTGGAATTCTGGGATTTTGCAAGTTCATGGAATTCCAAGGATGGATTTTGGGCGGGAAGCAGAATTTTGGGAATGGGCTCTGGGAATTTTTCCAGAGCTGGGGTTTGCACCACCGTGGTATATTTGGAATTTTGGGATCCAACCCCCCTCTTCCAGGTGGATTCCCCCCCTCAATTTCCGCTTTTCCCAATCCCTAAAATCCCAAAAATCCCTAAAATATCCTGGCAATTCCAGGGAGGGATTTTTGGTCGGAATTCCAGAATTTTGGGAATGGATCCCAAAAAATCCTGGGAATTTCCAATCTTGTGGTATTCCACTGATTGATTTTGGGCAGGAATTCCAGGATTTTGGGAATGGATCCTGAAAAATCCTGGGAGCTTCCAAGCTCCCAGAATTCCAGGGATGGATTTCTGGTGGGAAGCAGAATTTTGGGAATGGGCTCTGGGAATTTTTCCAGAGCTGGGTTTTGCCCCACCATGTAATATTTGGAATTTTGGGATCCAACCCCCCTCTTCCAGGTGGATTCCCCCCCTCAATTTCCGCTTTTCCCAATCCCTAAAATCCCAAAAATCCCTAAAATCCCTAAAATCCGTTGTTTTCCCGTGGGATTTGCAGCCTCCCAGCTCCTCCTCCAGCTGGTTTTGGGATTACGCCGTGGGATATCATCTCCTGGAATTCCTCCTCTGGATCAGGTAGGAAAATCCCAAAAATCCAAAAAATCCCAAACATCCCAAATCCCCCAAAACCCAAAATTCCCAAACTGCATATCCCAAATGCCAAATCCCAACTTCCAGCTCCTAAATCCCCAAAATCTTGAAAATCCGAAAAATCCAGAAAATTCCAAATATCCCAAATCCCCCAAAACTCCAAATTCCCAAACCCCAAATCCAAACCCCAAATCCCAAATTCCTGAAAATCCCAAAAAATCCCAAATCCCCCAAACCTCAAATCCCAAACTCCAAATCCCAAATTCCAGCTCCCAAGTCCCAAAAATTCCAACAATCCCAAATCCCCCAAACCCCAAAATTCCCAAACCGCAAATCCCAAAAAATCCCAAATCCCAAACTCTAAATCCTCTCAGTTTATCCAGGAAAAGTGATGAAATCCTGGGAATAGGCCGGGATCGGGATCAGATCCCATTGGGATTGGGATCATCGGGATTGGGATCGGGGTCAGAACTGGGATGAGTATTGGGATTTGGGTTGGGATTGGGTTTGGGATCAGGATCGGGATTGGGGTTGGGATCATCAGGATCGGGATCAGGGTTGGGATCATTGGGATCAGGATCAGGGTCTGGATCATTGGGATTGGGACTGGGATTAGGATTGGGATCAGTATTAGGATCGGGATCGGGATCAGGATTTGGATTTGGGATCAGGATCGGGATTGGGATTGGGATTTTGATTGGGATGAAGACTGGGATCGGGATTGGGCTCGGGATCAGAACTGGGATGAGTATTGGGATTGGGTTTGGGATCAGGATCAGGGTGGGGGTTGGGATTGGGATCATTGGGTTCAGGATCAGGATCGCTGGGATCGGGATTGGGATTGGGTTTGGGATCAGGATGGGGATTGGGGTTGGAATCCTTGGGATTGGGATCGGGGTTGGGATTGGGATCGGGATCGGGGTTGGGATCATTGGGATCAGGATCTGGATCATTTGGATCGGGACTGGGATTAGGATCGGGATTGGGATCTGGATTGGGGTTGGGATAGGATTGGGATTACAGATGGGATTGGGATTAGGATCTGGATTGGGATTTGGATTAGGATTGGGATCGGGATCAGGGTTGGGATCATTGGGATCAGGATCTGGATCATTGGGATCGGGACTGGGATTAGGATTGGGATTGGGATCAGGATTGGGATTGGGATAGGATTGGGATTACAGATGGGATTGGGATTGGGATTAGGATCTGGATTGGGGTTGGGGTTGGAATTAGGATCGGGATCAGGACTGGGATCAGGATTGGGGCTGGGATTGGGGCTAGGTTCAGGATCATTGGGATCAGGATCAGGATCCGGATCATTTGGATCAGGATTGGGATCAGGATAAAGATCACGATCGGGATTGGGATCAGGATCCGGATCATTGGGATCAGGACTGGGATTAGGATTGGGATCAGGATCCGGATCATTTGGATCAGGACTGGGATTAGGATCAGGATCAGGATTGGGATCAGGATCAGAACTGGGCTCAGTATTGGGATTGGAGGTGGGATCGGGATTGGGACTCGGATCGGGATTGGGATGGGGATTGGGATTTTCCAAGCCTGGTTTTATCCCGATTTTCTCCCTGTGCTGAGATTTTTGAGGGTTTTTAAGGAGCATTCCCATTCCCGGGAAAAGAGGAATTTTGGGAATTGCTGCTTTTCCAGGGATGGGATTCCCGGCTGGGGCTTCGCTGCCCTCTGGTGTCCACAGAAATTATGGAATTTTTCCGGCTGGAAAAACCAAATCCGGGAATTTTCCCATGTCCTGAATTTTTTGGATTAATAGAATTTTTTGGGCTGGAAAAGCCAAATCCGGGAATTTTCCCAGGTCCTGAATTTCATGGATTCATGGAAGTTTTGGGTTGGAAAAGCCAAATCTGAGCATTTTCCCATATCCCAGATTTCCTGAAAAGCCAAATCCAGGAATTCTCCCAGCTCTGATTTGCTATCAAAATTTTCTCGGATTCATGGAATTGTTCAGGCTGGAAAAGCCGTATCCCAGGATTCACCCAGCCTGGGAATAGAGGGAGGTGTTGGGGATTCTGGGATCCAGGACACTCAGGATCCATCCCGAGGGATTTTTATGGAATTTGCGGATGGAAAATGGACGGGAGACCCTTCCTGGAGTCCTCGATTCCCAGGGAATTCCCAAAAATCCTTCCCAGAGAGGTGCCAAGGGTTGGAATGGGATGGGATTGAAGGTCTGTGGATCCCACCCGAAGAATTCCAGGATTCTGGGATCAAGAATCCATCCTGAGGGATTTTTATGGAATTTGGAGATGGAAAAGAGAAGCGGAGTCTCGAATTCCCAGGGAATTCCCAAAATTCCTTCCCGGAGATGAGTCGGGATGGGAGTGGATCCAGTGCCAGGATGGGAGTGGAGAGAATTCCCTGGAAAGGGGGAGAAAATGGGATTTGGGAAGGAATTCCCGTCTGGGCTGGAATTCCCAGAGAATCCCTGGGAATCTTGGAATGCTTCCCCTCCCGCGGAATGGGATTCCGGCTCCATGAATCCCACCCGCGCCATCCCGGCATCCCCTGTCCCTCCCCCCGTCCCCTTTCCCGCTCCCTCCCCGCCCCGGGGCGGACCTTCGGGAAGCGGCTCCGGGGCAGAATTCCCGGTTTTTTCCCCGGCAGCTCCTTCTTCCCCGGGCTGGTGTCCTGGATCAACCGCGCCTTCTTCCGGCTCCTCTTCAGCTCCCGCTCGGAATGCGTCGACCGCAGCCACCGCATCCTCAACTACGAGTGCCGCTTCCGCCAGCACGTCCAGGACTGGGCCATCCCCATGTAATTCCCAAATCCCGGGGCTTTTCCCTGGGAATTCCATGATCCCAGTCCAGGACTGGGTCATTCCCATGGAAATTCACAGATCCCAGTGCTTTTCCATGGGAATTCCATGATCCCAGTCCAGGGTTGGGCCATCCCCATGTAATTCCCTGATCCCGGTGCTTTTCCCTGGGAATTCCATGATCCTGGTCCAGGGTTGGGTCATTCCCATGGAAATTCACAGATCCCGGTGCTGTTCCATGGGAATTCCATGTTCCCAGTCCAGGACTGGGCCATCCCCATGTAATTCCCAAATCCCGGTGCTTTCCCGTGGGAATTCCATGATCCCAGTCCATTCCAAGACAATTCCCTGATCCCAGTCCAGGACTGGGCCATCCCCATGTAATTCCCAAATCCCGGGGCTTTTCCCTGGGAATTCCATGATCCCAGTCCAGGGTTGGGTCATTCCCCATGGAAATTCACAGATCCCCATCCATTCCCGTGGGAATTCCATGATCCCAGTCCATTCCAAGACAATTCCCTGATCCCAGTCCAGGACTGGGCCATCCCCATGTAATTCCCAAATCCCTGTCCATTCCCGTGGGAATTCCATGATCCCAGTACAGGACTGGACCATCCCCATGTAATTCCCTGATCCTGGTGCTGTTCCATGGGAATTCCATGTTCACAGTCCAGGGCTGGGCCATCCCCATGTAATTCCCAAATCCCGGTGCTTTCCCGTGGGAATTCCATGATCCCAGTCCAGGGTTGGGTCATTCCCACGGAAATTCCCAAATCCCGGTGCTTTCCCGTGGGAATTCCATGATCCCAGTCCAGGGTTGGGTCATTCCCATGGAAATCCCCACATCCCGGTGCTTTCCCGTGGGAATTCCATGATCCCAGTCCAGGGTTGGGTCATTCCCACGGAAATTCCCAGATCCCGGTGCTTTCCCGTGGGAAATCCATGATCCCAGTCCAGGGTTGGGTCATTCCCATGGAAATTCCCAAATCCCGGTGCTTTTCCACGGGAATTCCATGATCCCAGTCCAGGGTTGGGTCATTCCCATGGAAATTCCCAGATCCCAGTGCTTTTCCATGGGAATTCCATGATCCCAGTCCAGGGCTGGACCATCCCCATGTAATTCCCACATCCCTGTCCATTCCCATGGGAATTCCATGATCCCAGTCCCGGGTTGGGTCATTCCCATGGAAATTCCCAAATCCCAGTCCATTCCTGGGATCTCCTCCAGCCCAGAATTCCCTCCAGACCCCAAATCCATGGGAAGAAGGATCTGCCATGGGAACACCATTCCCACCTGGAATCTGGGCATGGAGATCCCTGCAGATCCCAATCCCGGGATCCCAACCCCATCCCACTCCAAATCCCCGATCCGTGTGGTCCCACGGGAAGAACATTCCGGAACATTCCCTGAATTCCAGGATGGAGATCCCTCCAGATCCCAAATCCATGGGAAGAGGGATCTGCCACGGGAACACCATTCCCACCTGGAATATTTCCTTGGAGATCCCTGCAGATCCCGATCCCGGGATCCCAACCCCATCCCACTCCAAATCCCCGATCCGTGTGATCCCACGGGAAGAACATTCCGGAACACTCCCGGAATTCCACGGGATGGGATCTCCCACCCCTCCCTTCCTTTCACCGGGAATTTTTCTTTTTCCCTGGACCAGCGGGAAAACCAAGGAGGCGCTGCTGGAGCTGAAGGCGGAGCTGGACCGGAATCCCGGGATCGGCGCTCACTTCCCGGTGGAGATCCGCTTCTGCCGGCGGGACGAGATCCCGCTGAGCCCCTGCTTCCGGCGGGACAGCTGCTACATCAACGTCATCATGTACAGGTGGGAGGGGCCCCGCCCGGCCACGCCCCCGCCACGCCACGCCCCCCGAACCCGGGGAATGAGGGGTCTGGATTTGGGGACACCGCTCCCGCCGGGAATCCGGGCATGGAGATCCATCCAGATCCCAATCCCGGGATCACAAATTCATGGGAAAGGGAGACACTATTCCCACCAGGAATCTGGGCATGGAGATCCATCCAGATCCCAATCCCGGGATCACAAATCCATGGGAAGAGGGATCTGCCGTGGGTTCACCATTCCCACCGGGAATGTTTGCATGGAGATCCATCCAGATCCCAATCCCGGGATATCAAATCCATGGGAAAAGGAGACACTATTCCTGCCTGGAATCTGGGCATGGAGATCCATCCAGATCCCAATCCTGGGATCACAAATTCATGGGAAAGGGAGACGCTATTCCCACCTGGAATCCGGGCATGGAGATCCCTGCAGATCCCAATCCCGGGATCAGAAATTCATGGGAAAGGGAGATGCTATTCCCACCGGGAATCTGGGCATGGAGATCCCTGCAGATCCCAATCCTGGGATCCCAAATCCATGGGAAGGGAGACACTATTCCTACCTGGAATCTGGGCATGGAGATCCATCCAGATCCCAACCCCGGGATCACAAATTCATGGGAAAGGGAGACGCTATTCCCGCCAGTAATCTGGGCATGGAGATCCCTGCAGATCCCAATCCTGGGATCACAAATCCATGGGAAAGGGAGACGCTATTCCCACCGGGAATCTCGGCATGGAGATCCATCCAGATCCCAATCCCGGGATCCCAGATCCAGGGGAAGAGGGGTCTGCCATGGGTTCACCATTCCCATCGGGAATCTGGGCATGGAGATCCATCCAGATCCCAATCCCGGGATCCCGAACCCGTGGGAAGAGGGGTCTGCCATGGGTTCACCATTCCCATCGGGAATCTGGGCATGGAGATCCATCCAGATCCCAATCCCGGGATCCCGAACCCGTGGGAAGAGGGGTCTGCCATGGGTTCACCATTCCCATCGGGAATCTGGGCATGGAGATCCATCCAGATCCCAATCCCGGGATGACAAATCCATGGGAAGAGGGGTCTGCCATGGGTTCACCATTCCCACCGGGAATGTTTGCATGGAGATCCATCCAGATCCCAATCCTGGGATATCAAATCCATGGGAAAAGGAGACACTATTCCTGCCTGGAATCTGGGCATGGAGATCCATCCAGATCCCAATCCTGGGATCACAAATTCATGGGAAAGGGAGACGCTATTCCCACCTGGAATCCGGGCATGGAGATCCCTGCAGATCCCAATCCTGGGATCCCAAATCCATGGGAAAGGGAGACACTATTCCCACCTTGAATCTGGGCATGGAGATCCCTACAGATCCCAATCCCAGGATCCCAAATCCATAGGAAAGGGAGATGCTATTCCTGCCTGGAATCTGGGCATGGAGATCCATCCAGATCCCAATCCCGGGATCCCAGATCCATGGGAAAGGGAGACGTTATTCCCACGTGGAATCTGGGCATGGAGATCCCTGCAGATCCCAATCCTGGGATCACAAATCCATGGGAAAGGGAGACGCTATTCCCACCGGGAATCTCGGCATGGAGATCCATCGGGAATCTGGGCATGGAGATCCATCCAGATCCCAATCCCGGGATCCCGAACCCGTGGGAAGAGGGGTCTGCCATGGGTTCACCATTCCCACCTGGAATGTTTGCATGGGATCCCTGCAGATCCCAGTCCTGTGTTCCCAAATCCATGGGAAGAGGGGTCTGCCAAGGGATCACCGTTCCCACCGGGAATATTTGAATGGGATCCCTCCAGATCCCAATCCCGGGATCCCAAACCCATTCCTCATCCCAGGCCATTCCTGGGATCTTCTCCAGCCTGGAATTCCCTGGATGAGGAACCGATCCCGAATTCCTGGGGGTGGATCCCGGGGCCGGATCCGGGATTCCTGGGGGTGGATGTGGAATTCCTTGGGTGGATCCTGGGTGGGATTTCCCAAGGGTGGATCCTGGGGGTTGGATCCTGGGGCGATTCCAAGATCCCAAAATCCCGGGGTGGATTCCCAGGGGTGGGATTTGCCAGAGGGTGGATCATATTTCCATGGGATCCCTGCAGATCCCAATCCTAGGACCCCAAATCCATGAAAAGAGGAGACACATTCCCACCTGGAATCTTGACATGGAGATCCCTCCAGATCCTGATCTCAGGATTCCAAATCCGTGGGAAGAGGAGACACCATTCCCACCTGGAATATTTCCATGGGATCCTTTCAAATCCCAACCCCAGGATCTCAAACTCATGGAAAAGAGGGATCTGCCTTGGGTTCACCATTCCTACAGGGAATATTTCCATGGGGATCCTTCTAGATCCCAACCCCAGGATCCCAAACCCATTCCTCGTCCCAGGCCATTCCTGGGATCTTCTCCATCCATGGGAAGAGGGATCTGGACTGGGACATCATTCCCACAGAGAATGTTTGCATGGGATCCCTGCAGATCCCAGGGAATGTTTGCATGGGATCCCTGCAGATCCCAATCCCAGGATCCCAAATCCATAGGAAAGGGAGACACTATTCCCACCGAGAATCTGGGCATGGAGATCCCTCCAGATCCCAATTCTGGGATCCCAAATCCATGGGAAGAGGGATCTGGATCGGGGACACCATTCCCACTGGGAATATTTCCATGGGATCCCTGCAGATCCCCATCCTCACCTCCAAAATCCATCCCATTCCAAGGGATCCCAAATTCCCTGGGGTAGATCCCAAGGGGGATTCCCAGGATCCCAAATCCATCCATTTCCCAGGATCTTGAATTCCTGGGGGTGGATCCCGCTGATTCCCAGTAACAATCCCGGGATCCCAAATTCCAGAGGTGGATCCCAGATGTGGATCTGGCTGATTCCTGCTCTGCTCCCACATTCCCAGGGGTGGACCCCGGGGCAATTCCAGGATCCCAAATTCCGAGGGTGGATTCCCCAGGGTGGGATTTCCCAGGGGTGGATCCCGGGGCTGGATCCGGCATTCCTGGGGGTGGATCTGGAATTCCTGGGGGTGGATCTGGAATTCCTTGGGTAGATCCCGGGCGGGATTTCCCAAGGGTGGATCCTGGGGCGATTCCAAGATCCCAAATTCCTGGGGTGGATTCCTGGGGGTGGGATTTGCCAGAGGGTGGATCCCGGGGCTGGATCCCGAATTCCTGGGGGCTGATCCCAAATTCCTGGGGGTGGATCCTGGGTCTGGATCCGGCATTCCTGGGGGCTGATCCTGGGATCTGGCATGGGAAAATGGGATATGGCATGGGGAAAACAGGGTCTGGCATGGGAAAAACGGGATCTGGCATGGGAAAATGGGATCTGGCATGGGGAAAACCGGGATCTGGCACGGGGAAACCGGGATCCGGCACCGGGAAACTGGGATCTGGCACAGGGAAAACCGGGATCTGGCACGGGGAAACTGGGATCTGGCATGGGGAAAACCGGGATCTGGCATGGGGAAATGGGATCTGGCATGGGAAACTGGGATCTGGCATGGGAAAATGGGGATCTGGCAGGGGGAACTGGGATCCGGCACCGTGAAACTGGGATCTGGCATGGGAAAATGGGATCTGGCATGGGGAAAACAAGGTCTGGCATGGGAAAAACCGGGATCTGGCATGGGGAAAGGGGATCTGGCACAGGGAAAACCAGGATCCGGCATGGGGAAACCGGGATCCGGCACCGGGAAACTGGGATCTGGCATGGGGAAAGGGGATCTGGCACAGGGAAAACCAGGATCCGGCATGGGGAAACCGGGATCCGGCACCGGGAAACTGGGATCTGGCATGGGGAAAGGGGATCTGGCACAGGGAAAACCAGGATCCGGCATGGGGAAACCGGGATCCGGCACCGGGAAACTGGGATCTGGCATGGGGAAAGGGGATCTGGCACAGGGAAAACCAGGATCCGGCATGGGGAAACCGGGATCCGGCACCGGGAAACTGGGATCTGGCATGGGGAAAGGGGATCTGGCATGGGGAAATGGGATCTGGCATGGGGAAACTGGGATCTGGCATGGGGAAAATGGGGATCTGGCATGGGGAAAGGGGATCTGGCATGGGGAAAATGGGATCTGGCATGGGAAAAGGGGATCTGGCACGGGAAAACCAGGATCCGGCACGGGAAAATGGGGATTGATCCCAGGAAAAACGGGGATCAGGCACGGGAAAAGGGGATCTGGCACAGGGATCAGGGATCCAGCACAGGGAAACGGGGATTGATCCTGGGAAAAAAGGGGATCTGGCATGGGAAAACCGGGATCTGGCACGGGGAAAGGGGATCTGGCATGGGGAAAACCGGGATCCAGCACGGGGAAATGGGGATTGATCCCGAGAAAAACGGGGATCCGGCATGGGAAAAGGGGATCTGGCATGGGGAAATGGGGATCTGGCACGGGGAAAACCGGGATCTGGCATGGGGAAACCAGGATCTGGCATGGGAAAATGGGATCCAGCACAGGGAAACGGGGATTGATCCTGGGAAAAAAGGGGATCTGGCATGGGAAATGGGGATCCAGCACGGGAAAATGGGGTCCGGCATGGGAAAAACAGGGATCTGGCACGGGAAAGGGGAGCTGGCATGGGAAATGGGGAGCCAGCACGGGAAAATGGGGGCCGGCATGGGAACAACAGGGATCTGGCACGGGAAAGGGGAGCTGGCATGGGAAATGGGGAGCCAGCACGGGAAAATGGGGGCCGGCATGGGAACAACAGGGATCTGGCACGGGAAAGGGGAGCTGGCATGGGAAATGGGGAGCCAGCACGGGAAAATGGGGGCCGGCATGGGAACAACAGGGATCTGGCACGGGAAAGGGGAGCTGGCATGGGAAATGGGGAGCCAGCACGGGAAAATGGGGGCCGGCATGGGAACAACAGGGATCTGGCACGGGAAAGGGGAGCTGGCATGGGAAATGGGGAGCCAGCACGGGAAAATGGGGGCCGGCATGGGAACAACAGGGATCTGGCACGGGAAAGGGGAGCTGGCATGGGAAATGGGGAGCCAGCACGGGAAAATGGGGGCCGGCATGGGAACAACAGGGATCTGGCACGGGAAAGGGGAGCTGGCATGGGAAATGGGGATCCAGCACGGGGAAATGGGGATTGATCCCGAGAAAAACGGGGATCCGGCATGGGAAAAGGGGATCTGGCATGGGGAAATGGGGATCTGGCACGGGGAAAACCGGGATCTGGCATGGGGAAACCAGGATCTGGCATGGGAAAATGGGATCCAGCACAGGGAAACGGGGATTGATCCTGGGAAAAAAGGGGATCTGGCATGGGAAATGGGGATCCAGCACGGGAAAATGGGGTCCGGCATGGGAAAAACAGGGATCTGGCACGGGAAAGGGGATCTGGCATGGGGAACCGGGATCTGGTACCGGAAAAATGGGGTCCAGCATGGGAAAACCGGGGTCCGGCACGGGGAAACCGGGATCCGGCACGGGGAAACCGGGATCTGGCACCGGAAAAATGGGGTCCGGCATGGGAAAAACAGGGATCTGGCAAGGGAAAAACGGGGATCCAGCATGGGAAAAACAGGGATCCGGCATGGGGAAATGGGGTCTGGCATGGGGAAAACCGGGATCCGGCACGGGGAAAACCGGGATCCGGCATGGGGAAATGGGGTCTGGCATGGGGAAAATGGGATCTGGCACGGGAAAAGGGGATCTGGCACGGGAAAACCAGGATCCGGCACGGGAAAATGGGGATTGATCCCAGGAAAAACGGGGATCAGGCACGGGAAAAGGGGATCTGGCACAGGGATCAGGGATCTGGCATGGGGAAACCGGGATCTGGCACGGGAAAACAGGGTCCGGCACGGGGAAAACGGGGATTGATCCTGGGAAAAATGGGGATCTGGCATTGGAAAAATGGGGATCCAGCACAGGAAAAATGGGGATCTGTTATGGGAAAAATTGGGATCTGGCACGGGAAACGGGGATTGATCCTGGGGAAAACAGGGATCTGGCACGGGAAAATGGGGATCTGTCAGAAAACCGGGGTCCGGCACGGGGAAACCGGGATCCGGCACGGGGAAACCGGGATCTGGCACCGGAAAAATGGGGTCCGGCATGGGAAAAACAGGGATCTGGCAAGGGAAAAACGGGGATCCAGCATGGGAAAAACAGGGATCCGGCACGGGGAAAACCGGGATCCGGCATGGGGAAATGGGGTCTGGCATGGGGAAAAGGGGATCTGGCACGGGAAAAGGGGATCTGGCATGGGAAAAGGGGATCTGGCATGGGAAAAGGGGATCTGGCATGGGAAAAGGGGATCTGGCATGGGAAAAGGGGATCTGGCATGGGAAAAGGGGATCTGGCATGGGAAAAGGGGATCTGGCATGGGAAAAGGGGATCTGGCACGGGGAAACCAGGATCCGGCACGGGAAAATGGGGATTGATCCCAGGAAAAACTGGGATCTGGCACGGGAAACGGGGATTGATCCTGGGGAAAACAGGGATCTGGCACGGGAAAATGGGGATCTGGCACAGGAAAAGGGGATTGATCCCAGGAAAAACTGGGATCTGGCATGGGAAACGGGGAGTTTGCACTGGAAAAATGGGGATTTGTCATGGGAAAAACGGGGATCTGGCATGGGGAAAACGGGGATCCAGCATGGGAAAACTGGGATCTGGCATGGGAAAAATGGGGATCCAGCACAGGAAAAATGGGGATCTGTTATGGGAAAAATTGGGATCTGGCACGGGAAAGGGGATCTGGCATGGGGAACCGGGATCTGGTACCGGAAAAATGGGGTCCAGCATGGGAAAACCGGGGTCCGGCACGGGGAAACCGGGATCCGGCACGGGGAAACCGGGATCTGGCACCGGAAAAATGGGGTCCGGCATGGGAAAAACAGGGATCTGGCAAGGGAAAAACGGGGATCCAGCATGGGAAAAACAGGGATCCGGCACGGGGAAAACCGGGATCCGGCATGGGGAAATGGGGTCTGGCATGGGGAAAAGGGGATCTGGCACGGGAAAACCAGGATCCGGCACGGGAAAATGGGGATTGATCCCAGGAAAAACGGGGATCAGGCACGGGAAAAGGGGATCTGGCACAGGGATCAGGGATCCAGCACAGGGAAACGGGGATTGATCCTGGGAAAAAAGGGGATCTGGCAGGGGAAAACCGGGGTCTGGCACGGGGAAAGGGGATCTGGCATGGGGAAAACCGGGATCCAGCACGGGGAAATGGGGATTGATCCCGAGAAAAACGGGGATCCGGCATGGGAAAAGGGGATCTGGCATGGGGAAATGGGGATCTGGCACGGGGAAAACCGGGATCTGGCATGGGGAAACCAGGATCTGGCATGGGAAAATGGGATCCAGCACAGGGAAACGGGGATTGATCCTGGGAAAAAAGGGGATCTGGCATGGGAAATGGGGATCCAGCACGGGAAAATGGGGTCCGGCATGGGAAAAACAGGGATCTGGCACGGGAAAGGGGATCTGGCATGGGGAACCGGGATCTGGTACCGGAAAAATGGGGTCCAGCATGGGAAAACCGGGGTCCGGCACGGGGAAACCGGGATCCGGCACGGGGAAACCGGGATCTGGCACCGGAAAAATGGGGTCCGGCATGGGAAAAACAGGGATCTGGCAAGGGAAAAACGGGGATCCAGCATGGGAAAAACAGGGATCCGGCATGGGGAAATGGGGTCTGGCATGGGGAAAACCGGGATCCGGCACGGGGAAAACCGGGATCCGGCATGGGGAAATGGGGTCTGGCATGGGGAAAACCGGGATCCGGCACGGGGAAAACCGGGATCCGGCATGGGGAAATGGGGTCTGGCATGGGATTGATCCCGGGAAAACTGGGATCTGGTACAGGAAAAATGGGGATCTGGCACGGGAAAAGGGGAGATTGTACTGGAAAAATGGGATTTTTCACCATAAAATGGGGATTTGTAATGGAAAAATGGGAATTTTTAATGGGAAAATGGG